TCCTCCACATGAAAACAGCTGGGTGACCTTGGGCCAGTCACGAGTTCGTTCAGAGCTGTTCTCTCAAGAGCAGTTGTCAAGAGAGCTCTCTCAGCCCCACGCACCTCACAGGGTGCCTGTTGTGGGGAGGGGAAGGGAAAGGAGATTGTAAGCCGCTCTGAGACTCCTTCGGGTAGCGAAGGGCAGGGTATAAATCCAATCTCATCTTCTTCAATATTAATCGTTGCTTGGAGGGCACTGAGCCGTTCAGATGGACAGCAGAGGACAGGACTCGCAATAATGGGTTTAAACTTATGGGTGGAAAGACACCAGTTGGATATTAGGAGTTTCTTTTTTACAGTAAGAGGAGTTCAGCATTTGGAATCGGCTGCCCAGAGCGGTGGTGAGCTCTGCCCTCCCGGGCAGTCTTTAAGCAGCAGCTGGACAAACACTTGTCAGGGATGCTCTAGGCTGATCCGGCATTGAGCAGGGGGTTGGAGTATATGGCCTCTATGGCCCCTCCCAACCCTGTGATTTTATGAAATATTTATTCCCTTTCCGGAACCCTCAAACCAGCCTACAGTAGCAGCCAGTTTAAAATGCATCTTACATCAATGTAGAACCCAGCTGATCCATAGATCACTAAACAGAGTAAAGAACAAGGCAGTAGAAATTTTCGCACTTTACACAGTTAAAAAGCAAGGGTCAATCTAGTAACAATGGCACAAAGATTGGGCTTCACTGAAGTCATAGCGGGAAGAAGAATGTCCTAACCAAAACCGGAAGACTAACAGTCATTGCCAGAGAAGGCTCATGAGGGTAGGAGTTCCATAGTCTCAGTACCGCTACGAGAATAACCTGCCCTACGGTGTTTCCTGACACAATAGAGGTTAGCAAAATTATGCATGGGATAGAGAAGGTAGAGAAAGAAGTACTTTTTCTCCCTTTCTCACAGTACAAGAACTCGTGGGCACTCCATGAAATTGCTGAGCAGTCGGGTTAGAACGGATAAAAGGAAGTCCTTCACCCAAAGAGTGATTAACATGTGGAATTCACTGCCATGGGAGGGGGTGGAAGCTACAAACATAGCTTCAAGAGGGGATCGGATAAACATAAGGAGCAGCAGTCCTTCAGTGGCTATTAGCCACAAGGTATAGATGGAACACTCTGTCTGGGGCAGTGATGCCCTGTCTTCTTGGTGCTTGGGGGGGCAACAGTGGGAGGGCTTCTGGAGTTCTGGCCCTGCTGGTGGACCTCCTGATGGCACCTGGGTTTTGGCCACTGTGTGACACAGAGTGTTGGACTGGATGGGCCACTGGCCCGATCCAGCATGGCTTCTCTTATGTTGTTACTAGAAATAATGCCCGTTGCGGAAATAAATACAACGGGATCTAGGAAGAGGCTCTGGGAGAGTGCTTTGGCTTTGGGCAAACAGTGTCAGTTTCCTGTGGCGACCTCAGCAGGGTTTAATGACAGAGTCCACTGTTTTCTCCAGAGGGACTGATCTCTGCTACCTGAAGAGCATTTGTATGTTTGAGTTATCTGTAGCCCTCACCTGGAGAGTGGTAACCATTGTTACCCATTCTCCTCTCCCCTATGAGGTATGTTATGCAACTGTAAATTCCAACTGCCTGGTGGGGGGGGGAGTTTGAGGTGTGGAATGGACTGAAGTCCAATCAGCTTCCATATGCAAAAGACCAGGTTGTCGCAGCAGTTGTGGTGTGGGCGGGACCCGGGCTTTGCCTTCTGATTGGTGGCGATATATGCTGAGGAGCAGTGCCATCAGCCATACACTAAGGGAGTGCATTTTAGAATTAGAACTTTGGCACCCACTATTCAATTATATATAAGGAGAGATGACTCTTGACACTGAGGAGGAGTCTCAGTGTACGGGCCATACAGAAGAGGTAGGTACCCTGGTCCCCAACCCTTTAGGGGTCGAAAGCATCCCGCTTTCCGTATCTCCCCATGTAGCAGTTGTGGTCCTTGGTAGCTGTTTGTCCACTTGGGGTGGCCTGTCTATCATCAACTAAAGCCTGTGCTATTTTTTTTATCATAGCTCCCTTGAGGGCATGTAGGGTGTTCCTGGAGCAGAGGTCCATCAGTGGCTATTAGCCACAAGGTATAGATAGGGACTCTGGGGCAAGTGATGTTCTGTCATCTTGGTGCTTGGGGGGGGGGTCAACAGTGGGAGGGCTTCTAGTGTCCTGGCCCCACTGCTGGACCTCCTGATGGCACCTGGTATTTCTGGCCACTGTGTGATACAGAGTGTTGGACTGGATGGGCCTTTGGCCTGATCCAACATTGGCGTCTCTTATGTTCTTATGACAACAGAGGGCAGAACGAGCAATAATGTTGACCAGGTGCCCGGCTTTGAATGATTATAATAGGATTGGTGAGCATTATGACCCTTCAATAGTTTTTGTGTATTATAACTGTAAATAATAACCCGTCATAAAATGTAATGCCAGGTAGCGGAGATACAAACTTTATAAAGGACACAAACACAGAGGGGTTGTTTTTTTTTTACTTAAAATAAAAACGTGCTTAAAACATCAGCACTCTTGCAATATTTTGTTTATTTAACAGTGTCTGATAACTGACACCTCTTGCTCTGGATTATGGCAGCAAAATGTCTGTGCCATTGCAATCTTGAGTGTGCTGTTCAGGTGTGTCTCTGTCAGCTGCAAACCTACGATGACGCAGCAGCAGAACTGGAAGAAGAAGCAGGAGACAGCCAGTTCCACTGCAGGTCTGATAGAAGCCCTCCGGGGGCCTGATCTGGCCCCCGGGCCGCATGTTTGACAGCCCTGATTTAAATGGAATGGCAGGACCAGAATGCCATGACTGTACCTTTCTTAGTGGTTACAGAAGTTCTGATTTGTATAAAACTTAGAACGGCTCCAGGAAATGGAAGTGAACTCTGCTGTTTCTTTGGGGGGGTGGGGAATGAGCACACAGTCACACTCTCTCAGCCTAACCTGCCTCACAGGGTTGTTGTGGAGAAGAGGAGAGGGATATTAAGCTGCTTTGGATCATCACTGGAGAGAAAGGGAGGGTATAAGTCAAGGAAGTGGAAAATCCAGCACACGTCTGACCTGATGATTCATCGTAAGGTGTGGTCCTACCCATAACACGTTACAGAGTTGAACTGTTTGTCATTCAGTGCAGGGAACCTTTTTGGGGGGGAAGATTTGTTCTTCAACGTGTGTGGATGAACATATGGAACAGAGGTCCATCAGTGGCTATGAGCCACAAGGTATAGATGGGACACTCTGTCTGGGGCAGTGCTGCTCTGTCTTCTTGGTGCTTGGGGGGCCACGGTAGGAGGGCTTCTGGAGTTCTGGCCCCACTGGTGGGACCTCCTGATGGCCCCTGGGTTTTGGCCACTGTGTGACACAGAGTGTTGGACTGGGTGGGCCACTGGCCTGATCCAACAGGGCTTCTCTTACGTTCTCATGATACTGTGGTTCCAGGATCATTGTACTTTTCTTGGGCTCTATTCAGATCTTCAGGAGCAGAGTCTCTGCCCAGGTATCTCGCAGTCAGAATCTACGCTTTTGGGCTGGGGGAAGAAATAACATTTGAAGCAAGGCAGTCACGCAAGCAACACAGCACATCGGTTGGCCAACATCTTGTGCATGTATACAGTCTTCAGCTGCAAGCATATAAGAACATAAGAGACGCCGATGTTGGATCAGGCCAAAGGCCCATCCAGTCCAAGACTCTGTGTCACACAGTGGCCAGAAATACCAGGTGCCATCAGTAGGTCCACCAGTGGGGCCAGGTCATTAGAAGCCCTCCCACTGTTGACACACACCCCCAAGCACCAAGAAGACAGAGCATCACTTGCCCCAGAGCCCCTATCTATACCTTGTGGCTAATCGCCACTGATGGACCTCTGCTCCATATGCTTATCTAATTCCCTCTTGAAGCCGTCCATGCTTGTAGCCACCACCACCTCCTGTGGCAGTGAATTCCATGTGTTAATCACTCTTTGGGTGAAGAAGTACTTCCTTTTATCCGTTCTAACCCGACCGCTCAGCAATTTCATTGAGTGCCCACGAGTTCTTGTATTGTGAGAAAGGGAGAAAAGTACCTCTTTCTCTACCTGCTCTTTCCCATGCATAATCTTATAAACCTCAATCATGTCACCCCTCAGTCGTCTTTTCTCCAAGCCCCTTACTTTGGGGAGGCTGTGCCTAGTGCGCCCCCCCCCCCCCCCCCCCAGCTTTCTGGTCAAAATCCCCTACGCTTCCATGAAACTTGCTGGCAGTTTTAAGGCCAGTGACTCTCTCTCTCACCCTGACTTGCCTCCCAGGGTTGTTGTAATGACGAAAAAAGACGGGGGAGGGAGAACCGTGTCTGCCCTGAGCCCTCTGAAGGAAGTGGGGGGCGGGAAGTGCCGTCAAGACACGGCTGACTTATGGCGACCCCATAGGTGTTGTGGTTAAAAGCCCAGACTTCAATCTGGGAGAACCGGGTTTGATTCCCCCACTCCTCCACATGCAGCTGCTGGTGTGACCCTGGGCCAGTCGCAAGTTCTCTCAGGGCTGTTCTCTCAAGGGCAGTCCTCGAAAGAGCTCTCTCAGCCCCACCTACCTCAAAGGGGTGTCTGTTGTGGGGAGGGGAAGGGAAAGGAGATCATGAGCTGCTCTGTGATTCCTTCGGGTAGTGAAGGGCGGGGTATGAATCCAATATCTTCTTCCCTTCTTCTTTTCAAGGCAAGAGACGTTCAGAGGTGGTTTGCCCTTGCCTGCCTCTGCGTCGTGACCCTGGTCTTCCTTGGAGGTCCCCCATCCAAGTACTGGCCAAGGCCGACCCTGCTTCGCTTCCAAAATCTGACAAGGTCAAGCTAGCCCCGGCTGTCCAGGTCAGGGCTTTGAAGGAGGAGTCGGAGAGAGATGTCCTCGATAGGCGGAAGATGTCCCAGTTAACGTGTTCCATCAGACTCCCGCGAATGCTGTCTTTTTGGAGTTTAGAATTAAACATGCTTCTTTTCCCCTCCTCTTTTACAGGAAAATGTCAGCCACTGACGAGTTTTCGGTAAGTCGCCTGACCCGATTGCCAAAAAGGCAGCTTTCCAAAACTGTGGTCGAGTTGGGACTCTAAAGTAAAGCCATCCAGATGTTGTATCCAGTGATCTGGATACAAGCCTGAACCTGGGCAAAGTTAAATGTTAAGTAAGGAGGGGCCCGTGGCTCAGTGGCAGAGCCTCTGCTTGGCACGCATAAGGCCCCAGGTTCAATCCCCGGCATCTCCAGTTGAAAGGACCGGGCAGTAGGTGGTGAGAAAGACCTCGGCCTGAATCCCTGGAGAGCCCCTCTTGTAGAGCCTGTGTCTCCAGTCTGAAGCACAGCAGTGGCGAAGAATCCAGTAAGCCACGATGCAGGGCTTTAGTGATCTGCGTTTGACTTGACAGATTGCAAGTTTTGTTGCATTTCAAAGGGTAGCTGTGTTGGTTTGCAGTAGAAGACCTAGGTAGGCGCCTAGTAGCACCACAAGATCGATTTTATTACATAGGGCCAATGGCCATAACAAGAGGTTAGCACCACAGAGACCTTGGGGGCAGTGTTCCCTCTAAGCTGAGTGAGTGTGAGGTAGCTCACAGTTGTTTAGCCTCCAGCTCACAGATTTTTGTCTTAGCTCAGGAGGGATGGCTCCAGAGCAAACTAATTTATGCAGGAGCAAAATCGCTCACAGCTTTGATGCCAGGAGCTGCCGTGGCTCAAGTGGTTAAGACGCTGGACTGCAGACTGGAAGGTCGGCAGTTTGAGACCCAAGTGCCGCGTGACGGAGTGAGCTCCCATCTCTGGCCCCAGCTCCTGCCAACCTAACCGTTCGAAAGCAAGAAATTGCAGGTAGATAAATAGGTACGGCTTCACTGGGAAGGGAACAGCATTCCGTGCGCCTTGGTGTTTAGTCATGCCGGCCACATGACCACGGAAATGTCTTCAGACAGCGCTGGCTCTTCGGCTTGGAAACAGAGATGATCACCGCATCCCTAGATTCAGATTTGACTGGCTTTCGAGCAAGGGAAACCTTTACTAGCTCACAAAGCAGAATTTTTCCTCACAGGACTCCGCAGCTTAGAGGGAGCATTGCTTGGGGGTATAAACGTTTGCGCATCCAAACCCTCTTCATGGGCCCGCAACATCATATACGTCCTCGTGGCCATAGAGAGCTGGCTGTGTTCTGGCTTTAAGGTTGCTCTGCGCCTCCTTTGATTCGAATACTGTGCTTTGCTTCTGCTCACGGAACAGCGTCCTCCACTGCAAAGTATATTCATCTGGTGGTAGGCGCTTTCCACCCCAGCAAGACTCACGCCTCTCTTGAGCAGAAAGCCCCTGACGCCTGAAGGAACACATCTGCCAAGAGCAAATAGAAGTGTCTAAGCAGCAAGAAAAATATAGGATCTAATCTCTCGGTCGTATGTAGGCCCACAGTATACACATTTAAAATATCGAAAGATCATGTTGAGTAGGATGGGGAAGTGTCAATATTTTTTAAGCTTTTTGTCAAGATTTTCTTTGTGTCGTTTCCCCCCCTGCTAAGAGTCCCTGAATAAATGGGCATATAAAGAGGAGATGCTTTGAGCAATGCTCCCTCTAAGCTGTGGAGTCTTGTGAGCAAAAATTCTACTCTGTGAGCTACCGGCATTCAAGTTGTGAGCGAGCGATTGGGCTCCTGCATAAATCAGTTTGCTCTGGAGCCATCCCTTCATGAGCTAAGGCAAAAATGTGTGGGCCAGAGGCTAAAAAACTGTGAGCTGGCTCACACTAACTCCACTTAGAGGGAACGCTGGCTGTGAGCTGGAAAGTTATCCAGTGACCTCTGTGACTGGTGGCCAGCAGAAAAGCACTGCCTCAATAGCAGAAAAGTAGTAAAAAGCCCCAGTAGCACCTTTAAGACTAACAAACTTTATTGTAACATAAGCTTTTGAGAAACACAGCTCTCTTCGTCAGATGCCTCTGACAAAGAGAGCTGTGTTTCTCGAAAGCATATGCTACAATAAAAGTTTGTTAGTCTTAAGGTGCTGCTGGGGCTTTTTACCTTTTTGCAGCAGCAGACTAACACGGCTAACTCCTCTGGGTTAGTAGCAGAAGTTACTGCAAAATATGCCCCATGTCTTGTCTGGGCCTAGGAAGCAGCTGCATTGAGATTACCACTTAGGGTTGCCAGGTCTGGGTTGGAAAATACCTGGAGACTTTGGGGGTGGATCCAGGAGAGGGCGAGGTTTGGGGAGGGGAGGGGCCTTGGCATGGTACAAGGCCACAGAGTCCACCCTCCAAAGCAGCCATTTTCTCCAAGAGTGCTGATCTCCGTCAGCTGGAGATCCGTTGTAAAAGCGGGAGATCCCCAGGCCCAACTGGAGGCTGGCAACCCTATTACCATTTCAAGATCAGCAACATAGGTCTTGAAACAGACTAGACCAGGGGTCCCCAGCAGTGCTCCCCTGGTATGAGCCAGCTCACAGTTTTTTAGCCTCCGGCTCCCAAATTTTTGTCTTAGCTTGGGAAGGAGGGCTCCAGAGCAAACTTAATCGACACAGGAGCCAAACCGCTCGCTCGCCACTTTAATGCCAGCAGCTCACAAAGTAGAATTTTGGCTCACAAGGCTCCACAGCTTCGAGGGAGCAATGCTCATGACCAGTGTTCCCTCTAAGCTGAGTTAGTGTGAGCTAGCTCACCGTTTTTTAGCCTCCGGCTCACACCTTTTTCTCTCAGGTCAGGAAGGAGGGCTCCAGAGCAAACTAGCTGATGCAGGAGCCCAATCGCTCGGTCACCACTTTAACGCCAGCAGCTCACAAAGTAGAATTTTGGCTCACAAGTCTCCGCAGCTTCGAGGGAACATTGACCCCTGGTTTAGAGAACCAATAAACAGATGTGAATTGATACAGCGCTGAGCGGTGATGGAGTCTCATTCCCGTTTTTCTGTTTTGTTTTGTTTTTCAAGCTGGCGGATGCTTTACCCGACAGCTCCCCTGCCAAGAACGCCGCCTTGGGCACCACGAAACCCGCTCCCCAACCCGGGCAGCCCCCCCCACAAGCCTGGCCGGCCCCCAACCCCTGGAGCAGCCCCCCCAGCGCTCCCCCCACAGCCCCCTCCGGACTGCCCCCTAGCACATCCGCCTCCACCGTCCCGTTTGGGCCGCCGCCAACTGGGATGTATCCTTCCCTGCCCCCTGGAGCTCCCGCTCCTTTCCCTCCCCCCGGGTCTGCCTGCCCTCCCCCCGGAGGTCCGTATCCACCCCCGGGGCCCGTCCCCCCGGGGCAGTACCCTCCACCCAATATGCCCTTCCCGGAGCTTCCGAGGCCATACAGCGGTCCGGCAGACCCAGCAGCTCCCCCTACTGGTGTCGGACCGTGGGGGTCCATGCCCTCTGGGGGTTGGGGCCCCACAGTGGGAGGCCAATATCCCGCTCCCACCATGCCCTATCCACCCCCAGCGCCATATTCCACTCCTACCCAGACACCGGGGGCCGCACCTACAGTGCCGTGGGGGGCTGTCCCGCCAGGACCTTGGGGACCTTCGCCTCCGGGCCCATTTCCCCCACACGCCGGCTCCTACCCGGCTCCTGGACTGTACCCAACGCCACCCAATCCTTACCAAGTGCCACCTGCGCCCGCCGGGGCTCCATCCATGCCTGGTGGACCTCACGTGAGTACTTCCAACTTCTCCGTGTCTTGCTGTTTCTTCAGACGGGGGCCCCAGAGGATTAATTTGGGGTCTGCCTTTCTCACTGATGCTCGAGGGATTGAGAATAAAACGGCTGAAATTGTCGTGCCCCTGTATAGAACTGTGGTGCAGTCTCATTCGGAATACTGCCTAGAGTTCTGGTCACTGTATCTGAAGGAAGGACATTGCAGAGCAGGAAGAAATGCACAGGAGGGCAACCAAGACGATGAGTGTGTTGGAGCCCCTTCCCTCTGAGGAAAGGCTGACCAGTCTGGAATTTTTCAGTTTAGAAACGAGATGACTAAGGGGGGGACATGGTAGAGGTAGGTGAAATTATGCATGGGGCAGAGAGAGTGGACAAAGACAGTTTTTTCTCCCTTTCCCGAAATACTAGAACTCAAGGGCACCCCGTGATGCCGAAGGGCAGTAGGCTCAGGACGGACAAAAAGAAATGCAGGGGTTGATTAAAATGTGGAATTCACTGCCAGAAAATGTAGTGGTGGCCACAGGAATAGACAGCTTTAAAGGGGAATAGATAGATAGATTCACAAGAACTCGTGGGGACTCCATGAAATTGCTGATAAAAGGAAGTACTTCTTCACCCAAAGAGTGATGAACACATGGAATTCACTGCCACAGGAGGTGGTGGCTACAAGCCTGGACAGCTTCAAGAGGGAATTAGATAAACATATGGAATAGAAGTCCATCAGTGGCTATTAGCCACAAGGTATAGATAGGAACTCTCAGTCTGGGGCAAGTGATGTTCTGTATTCTCAGTGCTTGGGGGGGGGGGGCAACAGAGGGAGGGCTTCTAGTGTCCTGGCCCCACTGATGGACCTCCTGATGGCACCGGGTATTTTTGGCCACTGTGTGACAGTGTGTTGGACTGGATGGGCCATTGGCCTGATCCAACATTGGTTTCTCTTATGTTCTTATGTACTAGCCCTGTTGACTGAGGGGAACCTCCACATTCAGAGGCACTGATCCTGTGAATCCCAGAGCCAGGAGGCAGCATCAGGGGAAGGCCTGGGTCTCTGTGCCCTGTTGTTGGCCTTCCAGAGGAACTGGTTGGCCACTATGTGAGACAGAAGGTTGGACTAGATGGACCACTGGTATGATCCAGCGTAGCTCTTCTGATGTTCCTATGAAGGCCTCGGCCTCTCTGCCCTGTCGTTGGCCCTCCAGAGGAACTGGTTGGCCACTATGTGAGACAGAAGGTTGGACTAGATGGACCACTGGTATGATCCAGCGTAGCTCTTCTGATGTTCCTATGAAGGCCTCGGCCTCTCTGCCCTGTCGTTGGCCCTCCAGAGGAACTGGTTGGCCACTGTGGGAGACAGGCGGCTGGACTAGATGGACCCTCACTGGTCTGATCCAGCGGGGCCCTTCTTATATTCATAAGGCATATAGTCTCCATTAAAAACAATGTGACTAGAGCAGTGTAATACAGTGCTGTAAAGCTGTGTAATCCGCCTTGAATCCCGGTGAGAAAGGTCGACACTGTAAATAAACAAAACTGAGTAGCTACCTGGAAGCAGTGCTTCTGCATGCAGTACAATAGTGTGCTGTGGCATAACCCTGCCCTGACCCGGCTGGGCCAGGCTAGCCTGATCTCGTCAGATCCCGGAAGCCAAGCAGGGTCGGCCCTGGTTAGTACTTGGATGGGAGACCGCCGAGGAAGTCCAGGGTTGCTATGCAGAGGCAGGCAGTGGCAAACCGCCTCTGTTCCTCCCTTCCCTTGAAAAACCTTTTGGGGTTGCCCTGTAAGTCGACGGCGCTTTCCGCCACCACAGACAACTGCAATACATACAAGCAGTGAAACAAAGCTGTCGCTTGGCCGTTGTGCCCCCTCTTGCTTCAGGGAGAAGCAGCTTCCCGTTCCAGAAGGGGGGGGGACTTCCTGTTCTGGGTGTGCAGCTAGGACTGTTCGTAGGAATCTCGTGATTATATTTCAGATCACACATGAGAACGTTCCCATGATGACATGCCGTACACCCCAGGATTAATGCCAAATTTGCAGCCCCGGAGGGTAGTTTTTGAGTTCACGTTCTGTGCGGGCACAGAGGCCATATGAAGCAGATGGGAAAGGAAGCAAGTGGACATAAGTCAGTTCTTCAGGGCAAAGCCGTTCACTGCCCCAGAAATGAAAATGGCCCTGGCCAGAGAAGGACAATGGGTAGCCAGAGTCACTCCTCAGGCAAGGTCGTGATAAGCCATAGAGCTTCAAGGGGCCAAAGTGCAGAAGGGACGTTCTTCCAGACAGGAAGAGGAAGAGAATCTGCTGGGGGCGGGAGCTAAGGCAATAACTGTTTGCAGGATTCTGGGACCCTCCCATTCCCCTTTAGTTCTTTTATTGGTTGGGTGGAGACTGACAAGGGACTGAATCAATAGAGAGAGTCCATAAACAAAACCAGTTTATTACAATATATGCTTCTTAAGGACAGAAGGCACTTTAGCACTTACAGATCTTTTAGGATAAAAACATAACGTTTCCATATTCAGCACAGAATACTTCAACACGAACATAAGAACGTAAGAGAAGCCAATGTTGGATCAGGCCAATGGCCCATCCAGTCCAACACTCTGTCACACAGTGGCCAAAAATACCAGGGGCCTTCAGAAGGTCCACCAGTGGGGCCAGGACACTAGGAGCCCTCCTCTTTCCGTCAATTTTGGCTCCAAAACCTCTCATGGGCTTCTGGGAGTTGTAGGCCCAGCCTCACCTACTGCTACCCAGGCTCCCTGGGCCTAGTAGGCCTCTGGTGACACTTGGCTATCATTAACAGCCTTGCTCAGGTCTTGCAAACTGAGTTACGTATAGTGACTGATTAAAAAAAAAAAAGTAAATAAGCATTCAGTTTTTTAGTTGGATGGGTCTGATCTTTGAAGGTTAGACCTCTGTCTCCCGTTCACGGACCTGCTTGCCCCTCCAACCTAAGCATGTCGTTACCTTGGTGCCGCAGAAACCGACATTTTCCCAATTCCGTCTCTTGCAGCCCTACCGCTGAACTGGAGGGGGGCTAACAAAGTCCTTCGTCTCTGCCCGCGCCCACTATTTACGGACATTTTAAAAGAAACTTTTGTTTGGTAACCTTTTTTCGGAGTCTTGGAAGAACACGCCCGCCTCCTCCCGCGTGCCGTCCGAGGTGCGAAGGGGGCACTCTGCGTCAGCCAAACTCTCTTCCGCCGGGGAAGCCGTCTTCTCGTCGTCGGTCAAGGTGGATGGAGAACAGCAAGCCAATTGCTCCAACTCTGCGATCCTCACTCAGCTAAGGAAGCCCGTCTTCAGAGTCCACTGGAAGCTGCTCAGTGAATAAGGAGCTCTGTGGAATCGAGCCACGGGAAGGGCGTCCTTGCTTTTGCTCCTGTCTGTTGCTGCGACCACTCTATTCGCCGAACTTTATGGCAGTCGCTGGACCTGGTACACTCCCCTGAGCCGTGTTTTGCTTATTCATTGCCATAAATCCAACGTTTTTGAGAGGGGCTCTTGGAGAGACGTGCGCGACCCACACCGCAGTAATTCAACCAATTAAAGAGAAGCAATGTAGATGAAATTTGAAGTGGGGTGAGGGAGGGGGTTCACACAATCGGGCTCAGCTTTTTCCTGGTTTGGGGCGGGAGGGGAATTGTTGCAGGGAGGGGTTTGGATGCTTGACGCTCAGTTCAGAAACGCAAGGCAGACCAGGGGGGTGTCGAGGCCATCAGAATGTATATGGGAGAGGGACGTCTCTCGACTGATATTGTGGTTTCCATAAAAAGTAATGGGTTTTGCTTCTTCCGAGATGGCCTGTTTTTCAATCTGGATCTAAAGCTACTTGTGCTTTTGAGTGTGACTAACTTCCTGTTTTTACTCCGTTCCTATAATCTGTCTTTTGGATTCAGCGAGGGGAGGGGGTTAGGGGCCCAGAAGGGTCCATCCCTGCCCAGAACCTAACTTTACTGCAGCCCTGCTTAATAAACGAGCGGTCGTCATGTCGGAGTTCCACAAAACGTGGGCTTCTGGCTCGCTCTTAACCGTGGTGTGTTCTCAGCTTTGCCAAAGGTCTTATCCGGCATGAATCGAGGGGGCACAGATCTCTCCAGGTCTGCTCCTAGGAAGCCTTTCTTGTGTCGGAGAATTCTCTTGTCTGTTCTCAGGTGGCTTCGAGTTAACCGAATCTGCCAGGCATGGCAAACCTTTGGATACCATTGCAGTCGCGATATGTGCTTTGCTCTGCAAGGCTTTGGGGAGGGGGGCTCCCTTTTGACTTCACCAGGAGGCTCAATTTCCAATTTAAGCGTACCCTCCGCGGGGCCTCCGGGACGGTATCAGGAACTAAATGTGGTCAGGATCAGTGTTCCCTCTAAGCTGAGCTGGTGTGAGCTAGCTCACAGTTTTTTAAGCCTCCGGCTCACACATTTTTGTCTCAGCTCAGGAAGGACGGCTCCAGAGCAAACCAATTTATGCAGTAGCTAAATCACTCGCTCGCAACTTTAACGCCAGGAGCTCACAGAGTTGTAATTTTTGCTCACAGGACTACACAGCTTAGAGGGAGCATTGGTCAGGATTGGCAGTCTGGTTTTCTCAGCCTTGCAAACAAGTCCACAAGTTAGTAGCCCACAGTTTTTTTTCCCCCCAGTTGGGCAGGTGCCGTGTGAGCAGACCATAAAGTAAAAAGGGGGGGGGGGGACAAAATTACATATACGGTAAAGAAACTTAACCTGGAGATAATTTTTAGTCACCTGGGCAAGCCGACTTTAGGAAATCCTTTTTGGAGGAGGGGATTGCTGAGAGTAAACATTTCTGTTCCCGGGAATTAGTGGAATGGCGGAACTAGAATGCCATGGAAGTACCTTCCTTAGGGGGTCATGGAAGTTCGAATTTCTATGAAGCGTTACGACGGCTTCTGGAAGGGGGAGCGAACTCCGCTCCCGCCAGCAGGGCAGGGGAAGTGGCAGCGAGCCCACAGTGAACAAAAAGGACCTTTCGGCTCTGTTGGTTTTCGTGCCGGTTTCGCACGCGCTTTCCCACGCCCGTTGCACGCCGTCTGCATGCCTCCCGTCGCGGCTGCCTCCTCTCTCATGGGGCTATTGCATTTCCTCAGCATCTTAAAAACACACTTTGGTTATGCAGGGAAACACAGCTCTCGCTCGGAGTCGCAAACGCAGCCACAGCTGATGTGTCTTAGAATGTGGTTGTGTAGCAGTCGCACAGGCAGCTCCTGGATATCGTTTGTCGTGTGGGCAGTGCTGGGTAACACAGCTCTTTGCCCCCCCATCCCACCCCGATGCAAGAAGAGGAGCAAGGTGAATAGCTGGGTCCTGATCTCTCTTTGAATCTTTTTGGTTTAGTTTTCTAGTGGAATCCCTCGGAAGCTGTGCTCTTCCTCCTCTGCTGGAGTCCCCACAGTCTAAACCCCCCCAGCCCATACACACACACAGAATCTAAAGCAGGGGTGTCGAACTCATTTGTTATGGAGGGCCGGATTTGGCATAAATTGGACTTTGTTGGGCCGGGCCACGCGTGTCATAAAATGTCATGCCAGGTAGCGGAGATATAAACGTTATAAAGGACACAAAGACAAAGATTTTTTTTTTAACTTAAAATAAAAACATGCCTGAAACATTGGCATTCTTGCAATATTTTGTTTATTTAACGGTCTCTGATAACCGACACATCTCGCTCTGGATTATTGCATCCAAATGTCCTGTACTGTAGCAGTCGGGGAGGGGAGGGGCCTCAGCCCAGGGCGGGGAGCAGAAGCTTGCCGATCTATCTCTCCCGAGCGATTGAGAGAGTCTGGGGAAGCACGTTATGACGCTTCAGCAGCAGCAGAACTGGAGGAAGAAGCAGGAGGCAGCCCAGTCCCTTGCGGGCCTGAGGGAAGCCCTCTGGGGGCCCAATCCGGCCCCCCGTTTGACACCCCTGATCTAAGGTGTAACACCGTAAGAATGGTCCTTCTGGATCAGACCGAGGGTCCGTCCGATCCAGCATCCTGTTTCATTCAGTGCCAGGTAAGACGCCACTGGGAAGCACGCTGGCAGCAAGCCACTGCCGACCAGTTCTCTGGCACCTGACAAGCGGGCATTTAGCCTCTGAGCCGGCAGGGCCCCCTGCAGCTTTGGCTTAATAGCCCGATAACAGATCCCTCCTCTGTAAATCTCCCCAGTCCCCTCTTAAGTCCATCTCGAGCCCATGGCCGTTCCCACATCTGGTGGCAGGGAGTCCCGCAGGTCAACGACATGGTGTGCAAATTAGCAGGCACCCAAATGGGCCAGGTTGGAATCGGCGGCCCGTCAGTTTCATAGCGTGGCCCGGGGTTCTAGCACTAGGAGAAGAGAGGTCAAGGTGGGCAGCCGTGTCAGTCTGTCTGTAGCAGTAGAAGAGAGCCAGAGTCCAGGAGCACCCTCAAGACTAACAAAATCTGTGGCAGGGGAGGAGCTTTCGTGAGTCATGGCTCACTTCTTCAGATACAGCTAGAATTGGGAGTCCATCTGTCCTTCTGTCTTGGAGACTAGAGCGATTCTTCACAAGGCCGATGGGTTTTCATTCTGTACGGCTAAATGTGGTGCCTTCCATGGAGACTGATCAAGATGGTGTAGTGGTGAAGTGCACCGACTCTAATCTGGGAGAACTGCGTTTGATTCCCCACTCTTCCACTTGCACCTGCTGGATGACCTTGGGCAAGCCGTAGCTCTGATAAGAGCTGTTCTTGAAAAAGAGCCGTTTCTGTCCGAGCTCTCTCAGCCCCACCTACCTCACAGGGTGCCTGTTGTGGGGAGGGGAAGGGAAAGGAGATTATAAGCCGCTCTGAGACTCCTTTGGGTAGTGAAGGGCGGGGTATAAATCCAATCTCCTCCTCCTCTTCTGTAGCAGCAGAAAAGAGCAAGTGTCCCGGAGCACCCTCAAGACTAACAAAATCTGTAGCAGCGTAGTCATGAGTCTTTCGTGAGTCACTGCTCACTTATTCGGAGATCTGAAATGAGCAGCAATTGATGAAAAGCTCCTCCCCAGCCACAGATTTTGTTGGTTTTGAGGGTGCTCCTGGACTCTTGTTCTTTTCTACGGCTAGGAAAAATGGCGAAGGCTTCCTTCCGTGCCATACATAAGTTTACAAGCCTCGGTCACGTCCCCCACTCAGTTGCCATTTTTTAAATTCTAAACTAGAAAGCCCCGGGGTGCTTTTCGCCTTGCTTCTGGCCGGCGCTCCAACCCCACGATCGTTTTGATGACCCCCTTTCTGCACTTCCCCCAGCTCTGCAGAGTCCTCTTTGAGGTGCGGTGGACAGAACTGTAACGCGGTTAAGTTGTCCAAAAGAGGGCAGTGCGTCTGGCAGGCTTTGACAGACTGTAGAAAAGCCCTTGGACGCGTTGCCAGATTGCCCGGCTAAATCAGAGGCAGTTAATGCAGGTGCGTGTCCAGCTGGGCCCGTGAGATTGTTAGGTGGGCAGGAAGGAAGGGGAGAGCGGCCAACAAAAGAATGTGTTGTCTTCAGCTAACTTGGGCTGATGTCAGCCCTTGAGGTTCATGGTGCTCTCGTGAGGCAGTTCTGCGAAATCTGAATCCTGGCATACTGTTAAGCCAGTCTAATAAGATTCCCATCTTTGTGTCTCCTAGTTATATTACCGATTCTAAGGATCACGGACACCGCTTTGGGGAGGGCCGTGGCTCAGTAGCAAAGCATCTGCTTGGCATGCAGAAGGTCCCAGGTTCAATCCTTGGCATCTCCAGTTAAAGAGATCGGGTAGTAGGTGACAAGAAGGAGCTCTGCCTGTTGGCATGCGGAAGGTCCCAGGTTCAATCCCCGGCATATCCAGTTAAAGGGATCCGGTAGTAGGTGATGTAAAAGACCCCAGCCCGAGACCCTTGAAAGAACTCTCTCAGCCCCACCTTCCTCACAGGGTGTCTATTGGGAGGGGAAGGGAAAGGAGTTTGTAAGCCGCTCTGAGACTCCCTTGGGTAGTGAAGGGCAGGGTAGAAATCCAATCTCTTCTCTTCTTCTCTCTTGTCTCCTCCCGTGTGGAAACACTGCCACCACCCCCTATAGGGGGTGGTGACACTGCGCCCCCCCCCCTGTCTCGTTTGCATAGGATAAGAACTCGTGGGCACTCAGTGAATTGGCTGAGTAGTCGGGTTAGAGCAGATAAAAGGAAGTCCTTCACTCAAAGAGTGATTAGCACATGGAATTCACTGCCACAGGTGGTGGTGGCAGCTACAAGCATGGACGGCTTCAAGAGGGAATTAGATAAATATATGGAGCAGAGGTCCATCAATGGCTTTTAGCCACAAGGTATAGATGGGAAGCGATGCTCTGTACTCTTGGTGCTTGGGGGGGGGGCATTCTAGTGTCCTGGCTTCACTGCTGGACCTCCTGATGGCACCTGGTATTTTTGGCCACTGTGTGACAGGACGTTGAACAGGATGGGCTGTTGGCCTGATCCAACATTGGCTCCTCTTCTGTTCTTATGATTATGGCCGCCAAGTAACTTGAGTGACACTTTCAGGATATTGGGAAGCCCTTAGCAGCCGAACTGGGAGAAGATGCATTTCAGTTTCCAGTCCGGTTGTCTGTTAAAGACAGCAGGGGAGGACTGCAGTGAGTCGAAATATATTTAAGGGACTTGATTCTTCTGGACAGTCTGTCCAAAAACGTAAAAACCTCTGGAGCAGATTTATCATTGGACAACGGGGGCTATAACTTGTAAGAGGGTAATTTACATCCCAGGGTGTCTTCTTTAGGTATCGCTGTGTATCGTCCCCTCGACATCAGGAGAACCGCTTGAATTCCCTTCCCCTTCCGATCCCGTGAGAGAACCCAGCCCCCGTAGAGGCAACCCCCCCTCCTCCCTTCTTTAAAAAAAAGCAAGTTGTTGTTTAAATGCTGTGTAGTAAAACTCTTTGAGCCTTCCGCCTTGCGATGTGAGCGACTTTGGGTCCCGATCCTTGTTATGCGGCGGAATGTGTGTTGTTCCTGTAGAGTTCTTCGTGAGTTTCTTAAAAAGGCCGCTGAGAAGTTTGGGGTTATTATTATTTTTTGGCTTGTGCTTCTAAGATGGACGTTCGCTGCCTTTGTTTACAATATGGAGAAATTAAGCAGTCACACTTCCGAAGTGTCAACCGTGGGTGTCATCCCGCCCCTCTGCGGAATGGCGCCGGCCTCCCGCCCCTTGCGCGTCAGAGCCTCGTGCGTCAGCGGAAGGCTGCGCCCTCGACTGGCGCAGACCGGTAGGAAGCGACTCCATATCACCTGCTGCTGTATTTTTGTTTCGTTCCTTTTTAGATGACGAAAAAATATTTGCCGTATGATGGTAGTGAAGAGGCTTTAAATACAGGATTTGATATTTTTTTGAAAAAAATGCTGTCACTTTTTGTATACAATTAGACATTAAACGTATTTTCAGGACGATT